ATCGGACATTGTTTCATTCTGCTGTGCATGGGGTCGCTATAAGTCGGTTCCGACTCGATGGCACCTGACAACAACAACAATGTGTCCTGTGGGCATTTATCAGCAGCCTTAGGAGAACGTTGTAACGTGTGGGCGTGGCTGAGGAGAGGCAGTCCTGACTAGAACAACTGTGCCCTGAGCATTTCTGACTCTGCATCGTGTAACCTGTGAGCTTGGACATTCTAGAATACTTAATTATGCTCAGGGGAAACCCGCATAGAGACCAAGAGGGAGTTGAGCAAATAGCATTAGGGGATGCAGAATGGTTTAAAATCAGAGAGGTGTGCACCAGGGTTGTATCTTTTCATCACACTTATTCAGTCTGTATGCTAAGCAAATCATCTGAGAAGCTGAATTATAGGAAGAAGAACGCAGCATCAGAATTGGAGGAAAACTCATTAAGAGCCTGAGATAAACAAATGACACAAATTTGTATGCTGAAGATGAAGAGGACTTGGAATACTTACAGATGAAGATCAAAGACTACAGCCTTCAGTATAGATTGCACCTCGATGTAAAAAAAACAAAAATCCTCACAACTGGACCAATAAATAAAATCACGATAAACAGAGAAAAGACTGAAACTACCAAAGACTTCTTTTTGCTTGGATCCACAAACACCACTCATGGAAGCAGCCATCAAGAAATCAAACAACCGGTCCCCTCAGTGCAAACCCCCTTCCCAGACTAAGACTCAACGGGAATACATGCTGTGATTGGTGACCACGCTCAACACCGATAAGGGGAAGTGAGGGGAAAACAGAAAAAAAAAAAAAAAAGAAATCAAACAACCTACCGCATTCGACAAACGTACTGCGCAAGACTTCTTAGTGTCAACGAGCAAAGACGTCACTTTGAAGACTAAGATACTCCTGACCCAAGCCATGGTATTTTTAATTACCTCATGTGCATGTGAAAGCTGGACAATGAATAAAGAAGATGAAGAATCAATGCATTTGAGTGATGGTGTCGGAGGAGAATACTGAATATACCATGACTGCCCGAAGAACATATAACTCTCTCTTGGAATTCCAGCCAGATTCTTTCTTAGAATTGAGGATGGTGAGAATTTTTCTCTCATACTCTGGACATGCTGTTAGAAAGAGCAGTCCCTGGAGAAGGACAGCATGCCTGGAAAAGTGGAGGGTCAGTGAAAACGAGAAAGACCCCCAAGAAGACCAATGGACACAGTGGCGGCAGCAGTGGGCTCAGGTATAGCAGTTGTGAGAAGGACGCAGGACTGGGCAGCGCTTTGTTCTGTTGTGCATTCAGTCACTAAACGGCTTCAACGGCATCAAAACAACAACTGCTACAGAAACTTGGATCAAGATGTTCAGCAACGTTAGCCAGGCACCATCTAGTCCTTCTATTCCCATGGCAAAGAAGGCCAGAGGGCTTTCTTTGGCTGATTTTCAGAAGTTGGCCGCCAGGATTTTCTTTCAAGTCTTAGTCTGAAAGCTCTTGCTGAAACCTGTCCAGCATCTTAGCAACACGCAAGCCATGGGTGGTGGCTATGCATAAGACACGGTGGACCAGGAATGACCCTGGGTCTCCCACAGGGAAGGTGAGAATTCTACCACTGCTTCACCCTGACTCCTTGTCTATTGTTCCCTGTCGCTAATGTACCCTAATGTACTCCCTAATGAGGAGTCCCAGCAGATGGCATTCTTGGCCCTGACCTAGTCTCATTTCCCCGGCCACCCTGCCATCACGAAGCCTGCTGGGGTCCCTTTCTCACTTCAGTCATTCAGACAGGTCCCTGACACAAACCCTGTGTTCCCACCCACGGGATACAGGTCCAGGCCAATCTGTATTTGGACCTGAAGGAACCAGGTAACATCAGAAACCTCGTGGAGCTGGAGGCAGTAACTACCAGTCAATCACGCTCAAGGAGGAGGCCTATTCAAACTTCCCAAAGCAGTATTTCTGTCCTCCGCGGAGGCTGGCTGAATGCAAAGCAAACCAACAACATGAATCCAAGTACCTGTAGCTGTGCTCCAGGAGTTGACAGCGTAGTTATAAATATAGACTTTTTGGTTTATCACGAACAGCAACACTGAGCCGGCGAAATGTGCTGACGTTACTGAAGGCACGCCAACCTGCATAAAGATCGCGACATGTGGAATGTCAACAATAACACTTTAGCCAGCAATCCTTCTCTAGGCCCACACCCAGGACTTGGTGGTGGTAGTTGTTAAGTATACCATCAAGTGGATCCCGGCTCGTAGCGGATCCTGTTGAGGAGGGGTGGGGAACCTTTTTTCCTGACAAAATGGATAACCTCATTTGCGGGCCATACAAAATTATCTACTTAAAAATTAACCTGCTCCTAACAAGAGCAACAGTCTGGCAATACCTACTTAGAATGGTCCAAGTGGAGGAAGATGAATCATTCTGATTAGAAATAAAATAGTATTTGAAAGGACTATTTTAAAATTTGCAATTTTTATTTTTATCTACTTAACATTATATTGATACAGAGACTTTATCTTGGTTTTGCATAATGATAATGAGCTGTTACCTACATGTGATCATATCAAGATTTTTTTTTAAAGCTGATTAGTTAGAAATGCGAATTTATGGACCAATCTGACCTAATGAATCATAATCTCTGGAGACTGTCCCAGGAAATTGTATTTTAACAATTCCAGATGTGCATTCATGTTTCAGAAACATCTAGAGGAATAGTCTGTGATTAAAGGCTGTTACAGGAAACAGCCAGAAATTATTATCTCAGTCTTATATTGTAGGAATTTTATTTTCTAATTTATGAACAGGAACCTATAGTAACTGAAATTGTGGT